GGTTCCCTCGTTAGAGCCCTCCCACCCCAGTTTGGTTTACACAAAAATACCCCCTGGTCCCTATGGGTCAATTCCCCCCTTTCCCAGGCAAGCATACATACATACATACATACAACAATAATAATACATAAGGGTTTCAATTGCAATACAATCACTAGAAATAAGAGAACAGTATGCACAAAATCATAGCATAGACATGTTAAATAGACAATAAAATAAAACATTCAATAGCTCATCAAAGGTCAACATTTAAACACTGGTCTCCATCTGATATTCTATCTGTGTTCCAATGTCCACCCCTGGTTTCTGCTATATCTGAAAAGGTTAGGAAACAGATCAGGATTACTTTCCTAGTCACTTATAGCGTATACTGCCAAATCCTTTACTTAGCATATATACATATATACACATATAAATACATTCCTTAAACTTTTCATTTTATAAACAATTTGTTCAACAAGGTAACTTTCTTAATTTTCTACTTGGCTCTTAAAATAAACAATCAGCTAATAGCTGCTTTCTGCATCTTCTCTGCAATTCAGGAAACACATTTCTAGCCAACCTAAACATGTTTAATAACTCTCCACCCTTTGGTTAAATTATAGAGGAGTGAACCACAACACCTCTTCCGCCTCTGAAAGGATATAGGTCAATATGTCTCAAAGTTCAACACTTCTGACAGCTATGAGTGACTCCCTATTAATTTCTAGCCTTTCCACGGACATGCTTGCACCTCGCAGCTAAGGGTCTGCACAACTAACCACCCTGTGATGGCAGTGGCTTTCCGCATGGGGGTGACCGCCCCCGCAAAATTATAGAGGAGCAAACATACAGCAGCCTCTTTTCCGGCTCGATTAAAGGTTCTGGGCCAATATGTCTGCAATTTAACCAGTACACTCACGTATCACTTATTGTATATTTCCTGGTCTCTCAGGAATTTCTATTAAATAGCGTATCCCCTTCCCAGGGCAATATACAACAAAAACTAGTCACCAAGGGTCTCTATGGTCATGATAGGCCACCCTACCACTAGTGTAATACGCCCTTTTTTAAAAAATATATTTCCTGGTCTCTCAGAGATTTTGCCTATCCCTTTCCCAGAGCAATATATATATAAACAATTACAAATAAGTTACAAAACGCTACTTATAAGTAATACAGGGTTTCAAATAATAATACAGGATAGAACTGCACAACAACTATTGGGTATGCTCCCCCTTATCCGGACACGTTTAAATACCCCCTAGCTCAGGTTCCCCACCCGCTACTGTAACTAAAATCACAGCCCACGTTATGGAGGTTCACCCGCTAGGCAGATACACCCTAATTCAAAGCATGGAAATATTAAAATCAGTTATAGATGGCTTCTAAAATAATATAAATCTTAATCTGAGCCCCTACACTTACTTTGTTAAAAATGCTAACTTGTTAAAATATTCAGACTAAATAGGACAAAGGAATTATTTTACCATTTTTTCAGTTCATTTGTTACCAGTTCCTGCATATGTCCAGTAATTCCTTAGTCCTGGATAATAAAGCTGAAAAACACTCCACAAATTGATTAGCTTAGGCAATTACATTTACAAAACAATGCAGTTTATTTTTTCTCATACAGGCAAGACTACCCACCCCCAACAAGGACAAATTCTCCCCCAGCTGTAGCTGAAAAGCATGGTCACACAGCTGTTAAAGGTGGTCTCTCCTTCATGAGTCAAAATCATATATATATTTATACTAATATTCTGTGTATACGCACACATAAATCTATTATTCACTGAATCTGCTTTACTAAACGTATCTTTTTCTTAACTACTAATTTACTAGACAAATCCATGAATGCCAAACAAATGTAAATTAGTACACAAACAGGGTCAAATTTAGCAATAAAACCTGGTGAACTAGTGAAAAAGTCTTTTCCTATGCAAATGGTAGCAAACAATGAAGCTAGGCCTCATCTCATTCACACCATGTGGTCAATGGTGGATTAAAATCCACATGGTCAGACAAAAAGTAAAATTGTTTTTTGTTTTATATATAAAAATGACCAAAGGTTGGTAAAACGTAACAAGCAACACAATAATTCATCACTATGTTCTTACAACAAGAGATACCTTAAAAAACAAATATCTAATCCCTATCTGCTATCTGCATTCATTCCATTAAAACCAAATCCTCATTCATTTATTCATTTGTATACAGACAGACAATTTACTGTATTATTTAAGCAAAATGCATAACATTTATATTTTCCCCAATATTCAAGCATAATCCTGCCGACTACGCCAAATGTTGTGGTCGTGACCTAAATATGAATATTAATCTCTTAATACATAATAATTAAGCAATACGGAACAACATTAATATTTTTATAATTCATGGTATTATGGTCGAATATGTGGATAGAAAATACACAAAACGTTGTAATATTAAATGTATATTTAATATAACTATAACAAATAAACAGATGCTAGCAGAATGTCAATTTACTACAATTATGTTACAATCAAAATATAACTATAACAAATAAACAGATGCTAGCAGAATGTCAATTTACTACAATTATGTTACAATCAACATATTACTTACAAAAGGTTGCTACATGTTACACAAAAGGCTATTACAATTGCTAAATGTTCATTTTACTTACAAGGCCCCCAGCCCTTTGGCTGGGGTTAAGTCAGAGCTGGTACTACATCTTAGGTTCAGTCAGTTACAGGCAAAGGGAGAGAGTTTTCTCCTCCATCTGGTTTTATTCAGTGTAAGTAGGCTGGCCTGTGATGTCACTGCCAGAAGCACATGTCTTCCTACACACTCCCCCTAGTGGTGCCCCCAAAGCATTACACTAAATATGCTTTCTTTATGATGTAAAGTCATTAATTAATAAATACCATTACAGCGACGTAACGAAAATTTTGACCAAACAAGAGACTTTCTGGATTTTTAACCTTAAAACTCTAGTCCTGTTTGGTCTAAATGCAGAACTAGAATTAAGTAACATTTGTATGAGTCATTTTAGGTCAGTTATACTTAGATTATTGTTAAGGCAGTCCTTTTTTTTTTTTTGGAAAAATAAATTACTTTTTAAAAATTATTTATTTATTGTATATACATCATATTCTCCTTATTTAGTTGAGACTTTTTAGTTCTCAATTTTCAAAATCTACCTCCTTTATGCACTGATCCAAATAGGAGACATATGTATTGCAAATGATTACATAAACTTAATCATGAATCTCTTTAGTATTATTTTATTTATAATATCTTTACTTGTTTTAACTAGTATCCGTATGTCTTGAAGATTTTATGATTTCGGTGTAGAATATATTACAAAAATGCATATTCAAGATAAAATATATAATTGATATAATTAATGGATTTGGTATCAAAAAGTACGAAAATGTAATAGAGAACTCATAATACCGTGGTCCAAAGAATAATTATAAAAAGGACCTTGAATTTAAACTTCACAAAACTTACAAAATAACCACAGAAAACATCAAATGTGCAATATTGGAGTTAAGCACAGGAAAAGTTCTGCCCCAGCAGAAAACAGACCACCTTTAAGAAACTGACAATTTTCAAACATAACGGATTTAAAAGACTTTGATGTGCTTGACACGAACGCACCCTACTCCAAGAGTGTGCGTGACGTAGTTGTGGTGGTGAAAGGGTTAAAGTTCACTATTTGTCTGCAGTAGACCGGAAATAATGCTGGAAATTAACACCACCCACACTTAAACATAATAATATAACGTTTACTATTTTAATGCTGCCACCACCAAGACGATTTATAAATGGGGTGCCTTGGTCCACCAGGTAAATCAGTAATAAAACCCACCAAATATGACTTAATACAATACTTAAGGAATTGCAAAAATACTAACTAGTCTCTTCAGGTAACGTGATTCTTAACCAGACAAAGGCAGAACTTAATAAATAAATGTTTATTATGAGCAAAAAATAGTCACAGTGCATATAACAATATATGATAAACAAATTATTTACACCAACAACAGATAAAAACAAAAAGGATAAAATACAGAAGTCCTAGTCCAGGGGCTCTCTGGCAAGGAAAGATGGTGACTCACTTAGAATTAGATTCTGACTCCCAAGCAAGTACACGAGCACCCTTCAGGATCATTAGAGATATACCCTGTGGATTACCACGCCTCACCCAGAGGTGGAGTTAAGGCGTATCTTTAGAGATACTAAGTGACCACTCCCTTGTATCCAGACCCACATCAATCCAAATGTAAACATTTGGTTGTATCTTCTCTTATGTACCCGCCACAGAAATAATAATTGTCTCTATGAATTTATTATTTTACCATTCTATACATATGTTGCATGCCGGCCTTGCGATCCGATAGGACGGACACCACAATTTCTTCCCCTATGATCAAGTTAGGCCACTCATGTCTGGACTTGTTTAGAAGATGGTGCTTGCCACCTTCCAAATATAACAAAGATGATGCTTAATTATTATTCTGTGGGGTAAATATGAATGTTTTTATCTTTCCTCTGGATATGATACTGAAACAAGGCTTGAACTATCACTTACAAGGTACATGCCAAATGGATGAAGGGACATTAAGACTTTTTCCAAGTGTAGAACCTCACACCTCGCAGAGCCTTGATTACTTCACATCCATATGGTAAAATCCTTTTCACACTGCTATGCCATTCATACTAACCCTTCTGTCATTTGACCTCTGTGGGGGTCCCAGCTTCAAAAGATGTAACCCCTGTTGACCTCGACAATACCATCTCTGCTATTTACTACACAAATTACATTATAGGACAATATTCCATAGTGTAATAATAAACAGGGCCGCCATCAGGGGGTGACAACCATGATGGTTGTCATGGGCCCGGCGGTCCTGGGGGGCCCGGGTTGCTTTGGCAGTCCTGGGCCCCACATTACCACTCTGCACATATATATAGCGATAATCGCTATATATATGTGCAGCTGCGGGCCCCCCTGGCTCCCTGTATTTGCAGAGGGGGCCAAGCAGACTGCAACTGTACCTTACAGCTCTTCCCTCTCTCTAACTCCCATGAGACGTGTGGCCGTCAGAGCCTTGCCACGGCTTACCGTGGCAAAGCTCCGTGCGGCACACACGTCACGCTCGTGGGAGTTAGAGAGACGGAAGAGGTGTAAGGTACAGCTGCAGTCTGCTGCCCCCCCCCTCCCCCTGCAAATACCACGCCACTGGAACACCAGGGATGGAATCTCCCCCCTCCCTGAACCAGGTAAGAAGCAGGGAGGAGGAAATAGCTTTTATTAGATTTATTGTTGGGGGAGGGTGGGGGGGGAATTCTCAGTTTACATGTATACACTAGTAAAAACACACACACACTCTGCATTCACTACACTAACACACACACTGCATCCACTACACTAACACACACACTGCATTCACTACACTGACACACACTGCATTCACTACACTGACACACACTCTACATCCACTACACTGACACACACTCTGCATCCACTACACTGACACACACTCTGCATCCACTACACTGACACACACACTGCATCCACTACACTAACACACTGCACCCACTACACTGACACACACACTGCATCCACTACACTGACACACACTCTGCATTCACTACACTAACACACTGCACCCACTACACTGACACACACACTGCATTCACTACACTGACACACACTCTGCATTCACTACACTGACACACACTCTGCATTCACTACATTGACACACGCTCTGCATTCACTACACTGACACACACTCTGCATTCACTACATTGACACACGCTCTGCATTCACTACACTGACACACACTCTGCATTCACTACACTAACACACTGCATCCACTACATTAACACACTGCATCCACTACACTGACACACACTCTGCATCCACTACACTGACACACACTCTGCATTCACTACACTGACACACACTCTGCATTCACTACACTGACACACTCTGCATTCACTACACTAACATAATGCATCCACTACATTGACATACACTCTGCATTAACTATACACACAGCATCCACTACACAAACATCCTGTATTCACCGTACACACACTACAACCACCATACATTCAAACACTCTGCATTCGCTATACAGAGACACTGCGTCTAATACACTACTACATCCACTGCATCCACTAAACACATTGCATCTAGTACACACAAACACCACATCCACTACAAAAACACACACTACATCAGTGTACAAACACTACATCCACTACTCAAACACACTCTGTGTTCACTACACACACTGCATCTGCTACACAAACACACACTCTGCATTCACTGCACAAACAGTATCCAATACACACAAACACTACATCCATTACACACATTCTAATTCACTTCCATTAAACACACCACATTCAGTCGTGCATCATTGACAGCGGAGTCCTGTGGGTGGGCCGGGGGGAGTGATCAGCACAATAATACCGTTCCTTCCCTGACACCACTCTGGGCTAATAGTCAATCCCCCTCTGAGTAATTTCTAGACAGAGCATGGGAAATAGAACCCTAAAACCCTTCCCCAGACACAGAACCCCACAACCATAACCCTGAACAGTTCATCTCTTTAGCTACCCATTGCCAAAAGAGCACCTTGATACCAAACACGGTGTCCAATCACTGCCCAGTTAAATGTCTCTAACAGGGTGCTACTGCACCGTAACTGGTTGGCTGGCATCCTGGGTGCTTGGGCATGCTGCATCTACTCGGTAAGGGTGGAGACTTCAGGGCTGATGACAATAGGTTTTTTTAGTGTGTGTGCTTTCCAGTGTGTTCTGTGACCAGGTCCATATTCTGTAGGGTGGAGGTTGGCATCCAAGCCTCTCCATGAGCCCAGTAAAGGAGGCTCCAGTCAGAATACACAATGTTGGTTCATAGAGAAAGTAAGTGAGCCTATGTACATAATGTTGGCATTCTCAGTGAGTGGATATTGATTGTCTCTCTCTTATTAGATGTGGAGTCTCACAGACCCCAGCATGTATTGATTTATTCATTTTAGTTTTCCTTTTAGTGCACCAGGGGAGAGCAGCACATCACACAACTCTACACTGACACGCTGAAAGGATTACTTTGACAAATAAGGTCACCAATAAGATCTTTACCATGATATCAATAGATGTAGCATTTACGTAAAAAAAAACAAAAAAACAGCCTTTTCAAAGCTTCTGAAACCATACCACCATTTGGTAAATAGCAAATTATATCAGGGTGTCTACATGATTCCCTAAGGAGCAAACCTTGTACTAACTGGTATTGTGGTAAAGTTACTCCAGTTAGCAAATTGTGTTTGTGGTGTAAGTTTGCAACAATGCTAATTTCAACAACATTGAGCTTTAGTAAATCAACATGTTAATATCTACATACTTCCTCCAGAAACCATTAAATGTGTTTACATCTTTTCCCCCATTCTCTTATCTCAGTTCGCCCAGAAGTGAAGGTTTCCAGTCAGCAATCAGATGGGGTCACAGAGCTTCACTGCCAGGTGTGCGGGTTTTACCCCCGGGATGTGGATGTGAATTGGAAGAAAAATGGGATAGAGATTCACTCGGATGAGGCCAAACAGGTTCTCCCCAATACTGATGGTACTTATCAGATCAGGGCCACGGTGGAAGTACAACCAGTGAAGGGAGAGAGTTACGCTTGCCATGTGGATCACAGCAGCCTGAAAGAGCCACTCATTGTGATATGGGGTAAGTGTCAGCTGTAATTAATGTAATTACTCCCCAATCTTACTGTCAATGAGAATGGGATTTGGATTCTCTATTTTAGTGTGTATATTTTATTTTCTGACGCAATTAATTAAAGAAAATCCTTGATCTCAAGAAATATGTAAAAAAAAAAAAAAATACACATTTTAGTTTCGGTTCTAAGAAAAGGAACAGTTCAACCACCATAGCAGCCTATGCTTGTTATTAGAACAGGGTTGTGACTAGGTTCCAAAAATACCCGGGTCTGACCCCAAACAAGGTTTGATTACCACTTTCCCAAGGTCTCACCATTGTCTCCTCCCATGCTCCTCAGACTGGATGTGGCAGATGCTACCACGGGTCCCATGCACCAGGTAATTAGCTACGCCTTGCTAAAATGGTTTACCTTACTGTGGGATGGAGTCAGGGCACTCCTGGCACCATAACTACTGCAGCCTGCTGGTGTGTTCCTTTAAGACATGGTCACATGAGAGGTTTATCATAACTCTGTAAGGCCATGAGCAGGGTACAGATTCACACCCACAATATCATCATACATTGTAATTAACCACAGATATAGGATTGTATGTAAAATATGTGAAGATATTTGGATTGCAGTTACTTTTCTTCCAGCTACTCTTTTCAATACAATCTCAGAGCATCTTAATATATTCTCCCAGCAGCTGCTGTCAGGAAATGATACCAGTGATAACATGACATACAGGCAGAATAGGACATTTTAACAACTTCTGTTAATATTTATTTATTAGGCTATTTATCTGTAAAGAAATATAAGAATATTTTATTTCTGTTATTCAGGTCCCAAGCCAGATAGTGGGAATATTGGCGTGATTGCTGGTTGTGTCGTTGGTGCACTGATCGTTCTCGTTGCGCTTGGAGTTGGGATTTTTCTGTGGAAGAAGAAGAGTTCAGGTAAGACACACAGACAGGAGGATGATGTCTATACACCGGGCTATATAGAGCATTCCTAATGGGTTTACACTGTGTAATCACTGGCCCTTTACTGTATCTGACTGATAGGGCTCCAGTTTTCATCCTTATTTCTAATTCTGTTATTCCCTTTTGCTTTTCAGGAAGGAAACCAGATTATGCTCTTGGTAAGTTACATAATTATTCTGTTAATACAATAATATTGTGCTGTGCGTAAACACAGCTGTTACATTGGGACATCGCGTAAAGGAACACTATACGGTTATAGAGACATTTTTTAAAAATTTTTTTTGTAAATCTGTTTTTATTGAGTTATATAGAGACAGAACAGCTAATTTCAATGCAATCATAAGCAGGTTAAGGTCATGCACGACCTGTTTGTACCTGCTATAATGTATTCAGATGTACAACGAGTATAACATTCAGTATCAGTAATAATCAGTAATCTTCCTAAGTCAAAGCGGTGTGAACAACCATAACTCAGCAACTATAAATAACTTTCGCACATCTCCCACCGTTTCAGCTCAGTGCTTATGTATGTAGCACAGGGGGCTTACCGCGGGCTCTCCATGTCATGTGTGTGGCTTATCATTAGAGGCATGACTGCCCGTTAGGTCTGTCAGTTGGCGTGTAGTAATGGTGATGGCTAAGTGCTGTTTCAGTTATCCACGATTCAGTTAATCTTATGCCTCCATGCGGTATATGTGGTATGGTTCAAGGTTTTCGTTGCCTGAGCTACCCTGGCGCCCTTTGTTACATATGATTGTGTACGCCTTTGTCTCATCTAGTGATTTATCCATGAGGTGTGACTGAAGTGGTAGCTTTTTGGTGTGTTTTTCTCCCCCTCACCCTGATTAGTCTAGATCAGGCTGAGAGCATGTCTCTATAGTGTGGTTGTCTTTGAGCTGGCTGTGTATGCGTGCAAAGAGAAAAGAGTGTGAATTGTAGGTATGTGAGCTGAGGTTAAAAGGAGGGAAAAGAGGGGAAGGAGGGTTCCCTCATGTCTCCATTTCCGCATGACATATGGCGAGGCATAATAGCCCTCCAGCTTTTTTTTTTGAGTCTATAAGTCGAGGTATAGGAAAAATGTGGGTCTCGCCCCGAGGGTCCGGTATCCCCCCCGCGGGCCCTCCCTTCCCATCCCGCCCTACCGGTCTCTAGATACAAATGCAAACCATGGTCGCCACATCTCTGCATGTCTGTCCCCTCTGCCAAGTAGGGATGCTTGCATCGCCTCCGCCCCCTGGATGCCCTCCACTCTGCGGATCCATTCTTCCGTACCAGGTGTCTCCGTTTTTTTCCAATATATAGGTATCAGAGCTTTAGCTGCGTTGAGTAGGTGGCATAGGATCGACTTCTTATATCCTGCGATCGACATCTGTGAGACATGTAGGAGTGCTAGGGCTGCTGTCCAGGCAGGGATTTCTCCCAGAACTTCAGTTATGTTTTGTCTTATCATTTCCCAATATGGAGCAAGTGAGCTGCATTCCCACCAGATGTGTATCGTCAAGTTTTGTGAGTACA